GGATCCGCACTGTGTTAGCTGGTAGGGGACCTCTGCATGAATCTCTCCTCGCTCTCCGTTCTCTCAGTTTTCTCACTCCACTTGGTGCTTGGCTGAGTTCTTCATCTCTTCATTTGATGTTTTAGGGTTTCAGGATTGTTGTTTTCTCTGTTCGGCTTAGTTTTTCGGATCTTTGCTGTGGTGGGACGGCGTAATGCTTCTGCCTAGGGCCCCATTTTGCCAGAAGTCCCCCAGTAGTTATTATTTTGAACATAATAAAAATCCTTATGCCTAAAATATAAAGTCTACATGAATGTAGTTTAGTGTGTATGTGTCTCCATTTTAGATGAAAATTTTTGTGGAAATCTAATCATACTTTCCTTTTTCATATGAGCAGAAGTAGTTTTAGTTCTGATTTAACTGCGTGACTCCCTCAGGTTCTTCTTCATTTTGGGGATGTAGGCAAAGTTTTATTCAGGGAAACTAGTAAGCAACTCAACATTATTAGACCTTTAGATACAGATTTATCTTTTAATCTAAAACATTATCTTCAGTGACTGCAGTTCTCCAAAGGGTACTTTGTTTTTTATACTGAATTGTCTGTCACTGATAGTTCAGTAGCTACTTTTATGGGAGTATTTAGAGAATGACCTGTTGAGTAACTTCTGTGAAAAATTGGATAAAAAATGAAAGATATTACCTTATATTCTTCTTACCTTAGAACTGCAAATGGCTACGTTAGCAGGAAGCTGGGAAAACTGCTTCAATTCAAATACATCACGTGCAGCCCATCGGCTCATGTGATTTTCAGCTTTGCTTGATCCAATGACATTCTGGTTTGAGTGGACGTAAGCCACTTCCTGGACACCATCTAGGAGGTAATCGGACATTCATTACTAAGTGATGTATCATTACAAAGCAATACATCTCCATGTATACTTCAACTTACCAGCAGTACACTAAAAACAAGTTATGTTTGCTTTATTTTTAATCCTCAAGAAAAGTATTCAGTTTGTAGGTTAACATCACAATATTCGCTTTATAAAAGTTGAAAAGAAGAAGAGTTCAAATATGTTGGTTTAGGCTACCTTGAAAACCTTTCCCTCTCTCCTCTACATGAGAACTGCTGAGAGCAGGTAACCGTTTTAGATTTAAACCTGAGATGGGGGTTTTGGCCAGGAGAAAAGTCCTGATGGAAGGTCTGCTGTAGGAATTTGTTTTTTCTGTTGATTTAGAAAAAATGTTTCCTAATGAAGGACCAGTACTAGCCTCATCCATTATTTTAAATATGTACATGACTACAGTGGGGAATGGGAGCATTGGGTTTACGACCAGGGAGTTTCATTTGGATGGCTTTGTTCAGCTTACTGTTTGTGTTTTGTCTTTTTTGTACATATGTCCAGAGAATGTCAAGTTAAGAGCTTTTTAGGAAATGAAAAAAAATAACTCACGGCTTTTATCTGAAAGGGGTTTAAGAATTGCTATTCTTTTTACTGCTTTGCTTCTAGGCACCTGTAATTTATTTTTAAATGGTGGTCATAAAAGAGAAAGCTAGGACTGAGGTCTATAAAAGCTCCCTCAAACAGCTCTGGCACAGAACCTCAATAATGACTTTCAACACTTACGCTGTTTCAGTCTCGAACTTCTCTCAACCAGAAACTGTCAATCATGCAAAAAACAAGCCAGTGTTAAATAACATGACTAAAGGAGTAACTAGGATAATATTATCCTTACATTTCAAAACACCAAGCAAAATCTTAAAAAGGATTCTTCCAGTAGAAAGTTTACTCAGATTTTTCTTACCTTTGATGATCATTTCACATATTATTCAAAACAGCATTAGTTCCACGCTAACTATTGACACCTTTGCACACAGTAAAAAAAATACCTAGTTGCTAATTTAAAGGTAATTTATGCAATAATTCCTCAAGCTTAAAATTTAATTGCAGCACACAAACCAAAGGATAGTGCAGTACTTAGTTACAACAGTATTAAAAACATATATTTCTCATAATGAACTTTTACATGAGACTACTAATAACCTCAAAAGAAAGAATGAGTTGTAAATAAGTCAAACACAAAGATTAAGGTTTATACAGAAAAATATCCTTGCTCATGTATCAGCTTCTTTGATGTAGTTTTTGGGAATAAGTCAAATACTTTTTAAAGCAATGCTAACTCCTAAAATCATTAGGCTAGACTCTGGGCAGATGGTGGTGGTAGGGGAAGAAGTTTTTGCAAATCTCTCTGAATCTCCACATAAAAATAGACACTAACTAGACAGCAAAACTAAAAGCCGATAGATATTTACCAGAAAATTGGATGACAGACAAGATACCCCCATGAGCTCCAAAATACAAGCAGGTGCAGGGGGACAATCCACCAACAGCCACAAAATCTACATGGCATCAGGGTCTGTACAGGAAGAAGGAAGCAATGGGGTGGAATTATGAGGAGAGCCCAAAATAGCCAAGAGGTCTTCATTGGCAAGCACAACAGGCCAATTTGAGATCAGCAGCTGAAACTCCAGTGCTGAGTAAGTGCAGGGGGCTCATGGTAAAAAGGTCTGAAGGGTCTGCAGCAAGCTAACCTGTAGGATTTCTCCAAACTGACCCACCAGTACTCCTCCCCAGGTCAGGGACCCACATTGAGGAGAAACTGCTGGAAGGGAATCAAAATGAGCAGGAACAGGAACAAGGGTGAAGAAAAGAGAAGGCTAAAGCAAAGCAGTGGAGAGAAACAAAGCCAGGAAATCCCAGAAAGCAAGCCAGCATATTTGTGAACACTACAAAAATAACCAATACGGATCTCAATGAAGTTAGAAAAGATTTCCTAAACGCTGCCTCATTTTAAAAATTCAGGAAAATTAAGGTTAGATAAAGATGAGCAACAGAAAAGTTATCAGGGTCAAATCTCATAAAAGTCATTATTAAAAAAAAAGAGAGAATAAGGAGCAGAATAATATCTCTAAAATAAAAACATGCCAGAAAGATGTGCCCACAAAACACATTAAAACTGTAACTTATTCCAGATGAGGTAAAAGACTAAGAAAATGATAAAAGACATGAAAGAACAATATAAATCAGAATTAGAAAACTCAGGAATGAGCGACAGAACTCAAGAAAAACAGAAATAAAGAAATTATCTCAGAAAAGAAGACTGAGCGAGAAAGAACATAAGAGGAAAAAAACACAACACATAATGGCTTAAAAGAAACAAAAGGAAAATATTAAAAGGCAAAAAGAAATGAAGAGATAAAAAAAACTTTGACAGAATCTGACAAATACTAAAGATAAACAAAGATTGAACATTTGAATACTAGGAGTCTCTAATGAAGAAAGTCAAAGCCAGGAACAAAACAAATAGCTAAAAACACTAATATAAGAAACCTTTCTTGAAATAAAAATTGAGTTAAAACTACACTGTATATATGAGAAAATGTACCCAGAATAACCAACACCAAAATACACTCTAGTAAAATTACTGGACTATAATAAAATAATCCTTAGAAAATCTAGGGATAAAAATAAAAAAGAACATGTGATACAATACTTTATGCTAGAAGAAAGTGAAGCTATATACAATATTTAAAAAACTTGAGAAAAGAAAGTGTGCGCCAAGAATTTTATATCCAGCAAATAATAACTTCCAAGTATAAAGGGCACAAACTGTTATCAACAAGAAACTGAGGGCATATTATTCCCATGTGCCTTCCTGAGAAATCTGCTAGAAAATAGCTACACTCAAAATGACTGGAGAGGCACTGACTAGCATTAAATACAGTTACCTCTACAACCAGGAATAAATGAAGGCTAAGAGGGAAGAGTACATTGTGCAATGTCTCTGTGCTCTGACCACGTACACACAGTACATCTATTTTAAAACTGGGAAGAACATATGCCAAAAAAAAGTTTTAATGTTTCCAATAATCATATTGTGGTAGTATTGGTATTTTTATTCTTTGACTGTTGTGTAATATGGGATAAAACAAATGAGTAATTACGGCACATCATAAGTCAATCAAGGAGCTCTGGTGGCACAAACGGTTTAGTGTGTGGCTGCTACTGAAAGGTTAGCCATTTGACCACAACCAGCAGCTCCGAGGGAGAATGACCTGGTGATCTGCTTCCATGAAGATTACAGCCTAGAAAACTCTATGAGGCAGTTCTACTTTGTTACATGGGGTCACTATGAGTCATAATCGACCCGACACCATCTAACAACAGCCTAATTCAATCATTACCTATATGCTTGAGAACCAGGACTGTCACTATGGAAGAAACAGGATATAAATGTAATACAAGTTTAAGTAAAGTACAAGCTCTACAGTATCAGATTTGAAGTATAAATATAAACCCATGAGGTGTTTTATCACCATATATAAAAATACATATATACACATAAGTATACCATATTTTTACACAAATAACATGCACCTTCTATGTTTGTTTGCTAGCTGCTCCTTCCTCCCACGACATGTTTTTGTAAACGTGCTATGCTAAATCTTTTCTTTTACAATAACATGTAAAAAAAAATTGGCATAGCAGCGCTTATGAAAATACCTCGTGGGGGAGGGTGTGACTGGCAAAGAAGCATAGAAAGGGCACATTATTTGCAGAAAAATAGTCTATATGTGTATACATAAATATATGTGTATGTGTATATGTATAATCTGTCCACTGAAAGGCCCCAAAATAATGATCAAGCCAGTAGCAATGATCATTCCTAACACCAGACTGTGGCCTTGAAATACAATTTCTCACTAAATGAAACCAGGACTACTTGGGAAATGACTAATTCTAGGTCTGGGATGGAAAATGTATGAGATGATCCTGGAGCAACATGCTATACCAGACAGCAAAGAAGCTTTCAAAGATGACTAGTGTCAAGTCAAAAGGTCTTAGGAGCCAAAAGGCTCATGTCAAAAGGTTCCCACTTGGCCAAAGATGGGACAAATGAACTTCAATAACATTAACTGTTACTTACTAAAACCAATGAAATATGTTTAAATGAATTAATTCATAATAATATTAAAAACAAAACGGGCCATCCTTGAAGGATAATAGGAAACCAATTTATTATACTAAAAATTGGTAACTAAAGAAAGGAATTAAAACATTTTTTCTGCCTTTCCTATATGAACTGTATCACCAGGTATGGGTAGTAGATGAGGGGAGGTATCTCTTATAAAACAGTCTAACTAATAAATGAAAAACAAATGGGAAAAGTATAAAATATCACCACTTTGCTACTGTGAATGAATAGATACAGGCATTAAGCACTGATGGCTGCTAAGATCATGAGAGACCAGTAAACATTTTGTGCCTCTATAGTTTTGCCAAACAGTAACATTTGTCTTGCCAAAGGGATCATCTTTATCTAATCTCTAGAGTCTGATCCAGTCTCTAGAGGCAATTGTCCATTTGCAGGAAATACAGAGCACAGAGAAACATTCCTAACTGCACCAGGAGTATATAATCAGCAAAACCAGATTGAGGAAAACACTATAGATGGCCAGGTTCTTCAACAGATAAATTGTTAAGAAATGACAGGGATGGAGGAGGAATCCTACAGATTAAAAGAGACTACATAAAATTTTTTTAAATGGGTGAGACTAAACTGTAATGTCTAGGGATGCATATGAGTGTCATAAAACCATAAAAAAATTAAAGAAGTCATCGCTATGAAAGTCAGAATAATTAGTATTCATAGGGGAAGACAGACTGTGATTTGGACAGGGCATATAGAGGGGATTCTGGGGGAGTTGGCAAAGTTCTCTGTCTTGACCTAGGTGGTCCTTCCTTTTATCCTGCTCCGTTTTTCTCCTTTGTGTCTCAATGTAGCATCCTGATTTTACAGCTATTTTACAAGATAATTCAAGAATCTTTTACAGAACTATTTGATTACAGAAAACAAACATTTAAAGAAAAGTTTTCAGGATGTATCCATAAAACCAGACCACCAAACCCACTGCCGTCAAGTCGATTCCGACTCATGACGACCCTATAGGACACAGCAGAATTGCCCCATAGAGTTTCCAAGGAGCACTTGGTGGATTCAAACTGCCAACCTTTTTGGTTAGCAGCTATATGACGTAACCACTACGCCACCAGGGTTTCCAACATTTAAAGAAAAGTTTTCAGGATGTATCATAGTTACCTAAAAATTTATCCACTGATTCATGTATCTGCTCTTGACTCACAATCCTCTCATTTGAAAATTTCATTTGTTTTCTTGATATGAAAGTGGTATTTTTCTTATTGCGGTTAGGCAATTTTGAGGAGAAACTGATTGTATCTTTTGTAATTTTTGGTCTACGGCTCTGTCTGGAGGAACTGATGTGGCTGACGGATAAATCATCATCTGAGGATGAAAACTCATCGATAGCCAGAGAGTTACAACCCTTGCCTGTTGTGTACACTTGGTTTGTTTTCTTTGTTGTTTGAGGAAAACTGTAAAGTTTGCTTTTGCTTTCCTTTTCTTTCTTAAGCCTCAAAGAACTAGTAGCTCTTTGCTTTCTTACTCTTGACCTGGACGTTATTTCAATGTCATCAGATTCATCACTAATATCACTAGTGCCTTTCCTCTTCATGACGGATTTCAGAGTAATGCTTTCAGGATTTAATTTTTTTGAAATTGGTCCGTTTCCCCTGACATCGGTTTTTGTATCATCATCATTCTTTAGTTTTACAGCGTTATCTGTTTCAGAATCTTCGGATCCATCCAATGGTGGCTTAAACCTTATACTACACTTAGGGAATCTCTGAGTTGCATATTGTGTGGGAAAGATGACATCACTGTCTTCTGATTCTGTGACATTCTGGTGTTCAATTGGATTTTTAAATTTTTTTTCACCAGAAGACTCAGAAGAAATATTTTGTTTTAAAGTCTTCTCACTTTTATCAAAAATAAATTTTTCATTTGGATTTATGATGCCAGCTTTTTTCTGATGTTCTAAAGGACCACGAGAGTTCTGACTTTTCTGACAGCCAACTATCCTATCATCTACGGCTTCTGTGAAATGGCATGTGGGCTGCTCATCAGAACTTTCACCATCAGAGGCATCATCTTCATTACTATCCTCAACTGCTTTATAATTTGTCTCAAACAATTTAGAAAAGCCACACTGGAGTAAGGTGAGCTGTCCTGGAACACCTGAAGCTTTACTTGAATGAGATGCTTTGCTCTTAGCAGTCTTTATTCTTGAGTTTCCCACTGATTCCTCATCACTAAAATCACTGCAGAGATCACAGGCTTCTTCTGTCAGTGGTTCTGCAGGTTGTTCTGGACCTCTGTATTCTTGACAGTCAGGCTCCCTAGGCTACACAAGAAACAATGGAAGAAACATTAGATAAGGATATCAAATCTATCACACTGGAAAGGAATTAACTTCAGGCAGATAATTTATGTACAAGTATATAACTTGGTGTTTTCTAACAGTACAACATTCAATAAACAATCACTAAGAATTTAATATTACAGTCTGGTAGTCCTTTCTCTTTTCAAGTTGAATAACCTCCCAAAATAAATAAAAGTTTAAACTACAGCACTATGTGATCAAATTATTTATAAGGAAAACACAGAGCAGAGTCGTTAGCCTCTACGACGTGGGGGCCAAGGATCCTGGCCTCAAAAATGAGAAGCACACAACTTATTGCTTAAGAATGACTGGGGTTTACTATAGTCTAGTAGATGCTTCCAATCATGCTTGAAGAACAAAACAAATTTTCAGGAATTAACAAGTAAAAGATTCATAACAGAAAATACTTCTAATTGACTAAATATAACAATAAGACCCAATAGGATCCTGATCACAAAGAAACAGGAAAATATTGAATAAATTATAAAGCAAAATTTGCCAGAATAAATCTAATATTTAATTTTTTCACATTGACCAGAGTTAAATACATCCTTCAGTTTTCTAAAACTGAGGCTAAAAACATAATTAGTAAAAGACTCTGGAAAAGTATTATATCAGTAATATTTCTGTCTGCATTTGACATTCACGTATTTCTGTAAATTTAGAGAAATGTTCATCCCAAATTCCAAACCACTGGACTAGTATGAATTTATAGTTAAGTCTCTAAAAACAAAAACAAATAAGAAAAAAAGAGCAGCAATAAAACCTTCTACACATATTCTTTACCTTTAAAAAGGCCTCATGATGGCATTGTAGATTTCGTGGTACATGAGGTAAACTACTAAAAAGATCACAAGAGCAAGGACTCAAACCAAATAAAATACCTGCTTGGGTCAAAGAATGATTTTGATGTTTGGATTTAATCATTTAAACACTCACTGACTGTTATTTTTCATTTAATTTGCAGGCTGATTAAAAATTATTTATTTGAATTGGGCCCATCACCAATATATAGTGAATCTAATTTTGGATTTATAGTTTGGTATAGTTAATATTCCACTTTAGATATAAATGCTTGTTGAACGTTAAATGAGCCTAAATTGTTAATTTTACTGACAGTCCTTTGACTTTGTTTTCTTGACTTAAAAAAAAAAAGATACGACTTTACATGTAGAAAAACAAAGGAAAAAAGAAAAGAAAATTGTCACAGTACATGTTTTCTAGAGTTCAGGGCAACAGATTAAAAAATTACTTGCCATTTCTTGCTTGTGAGCTGGAGGACCCTCTCTCCACCACGTTGTGGCTGTCATGATCCCTGCTTCCACTTGGCCTTCTCTCTACAACGTCAGCAACAAAGAATGCAAATGACTGTGCCAAATATGCAGCAAAAACAATAAGATAAACAACAGCAGCAATGGCGTGCTAAGAGTTAAGAAGGAAAAACTGGGTGTCGCTTGCTTTAGCTCTCTTAATGTTATTTTTCAATTTGGTAATTAAGGAATTTATATACAGTTTATATAACATTTTAGAACACTCTTAATTCTTGTCTTAAAGCTTACTCTTTCAGATGCTGAAAACTAATAATACGTTTCAGCCAACTCCATTAAAAGTACTACCAGGGGAGGAGGAATGAAAGAAGTATGTTATGTATCTACCCAGTATTGATATCCAAAGGAGCCCTGGTGGTGGTGCAGTGGTTAAAAGCAATTGACTGCAAACTGAAACGTCGGCAGATCGAAACCACCAGCGGCTCCAAGGGAGAAAGATGTGGCAGTGTGCTTCCATGGAGATATACAGCCTTGGAAACCCTATGGGGTCACTGTAAGTTGGAATCGACTTGACAGCAGTAAGTTTGGTTTGGATTGATATCTATAATAACCATGCGTACATAATAATTATGGAGCCCTGGTGGCGCGGTGGTTAACAGCTTGGCTGCTAACCAAAAAGCTGGCAGTTCGAATCCACTAGCTGCTCCTTGGAAACCAAACAGGGCAGTTATATTCTGTCCTGTAGGGTCGCTATGAGTCGGAATCGACTCGACAGCAACGGGTTTGGTTTGGTTTTTGGTATATAATAATTACAGTAAGGCATACTAGCAACACTTGAGACACCACAGATAATGTTGAGTATTGGGAACTTGATCTTCTAGCATATATATATATGTATATATACATACGTATATATATGTATGTATGTACATATTTTTTAAATTTTATTTAGTTTGTTGTTATTGTTCACACAGTCATTTATTCAAAAATGTTTATTGAACCCTTAGGTGTAGCGGAGGAGCCCTGGGTGGCACAAATGGTTAAGCACTTGACTACTAACTGAAAAGTTGGTGGCTTGAACCCACCCAGGGGTGCCTCAGAAGACAGGCCTGGCGATTTGCTTCTCTTCAGGTCACAGCCTTGAAAACCCTTTGAACAAGCAATTCTACTCTGCACACACGGGGTCATCATGAGTCGGAATCGACTGGATGGCAACTAACAATAACAACATGATGTGCCTAGAAAAATGCAAATAAAATGCAAGACATGGATGGTCCCAGCCTTAATAAACATTCATTGAGGAGAAACAAGATATACTTAGGACAACTAGTGAACAAGAGAACTTTCCACTTAATAATTGGTAATCCTGACATGTCTTACATAACAATTGTTTAACAAAGGATTAGGCAGCTATCCTGATAAAATAGAGAATTATTCAACTGTTTGATATAGGCAGGAAAGAGGATAAATAAAAAAAAAATCTATTTTTTTCTTTTTTGTAAACAACGACTTCAAATTAGAAACATGAAAATAGGCTGGCATGTTAGGTACCATTCTGAGGTGGAGGTAGGGTTTGAGCCGGGCCTGGACGACAAATAAGGCTATTGTTACAAAAAGAGAAATGGGAAAGCTCATGTCCATGAAAGAAACAGCATATTTAAAAATGAGAAAGACAGAAAACTTCAGCAGTATACATCAGCCACTGTATAATAACTTTAATATTTATAGAATATAAAAATATATACCTTCCTCTTCCCAGCAATCAGTAATCGCTTTGACTACTGCTGATCTTGCTTAGCATATGCTTACTACAGTTACTTATTATATAAACATCCTTTTCCACCTTTCACCAAGATGGTGTAAGTTACTCAAGGGAACAGGTATTCCTAGAACTGTCTTTATGGTGCTTACTGAATAAATGAAGTACCTTAAAGTTTTACTACAAAGTCCTGGAAGTCAAGGGGGACATCCTTAAGTTCTCTGTGCCTCAGTTTCCTCATTTATATGATGCAGGCATTGGACAAGATACTCCAGGATTTTATGATAGCCATATCAATGTCAACTATAAAATAAGATTAATATCCTTAGTATTCAGGAACATTAAAGAATTTAAAGATTTTTTTTTTAAAAGGATTATAACTGTTCTGTTTGAAGAATAAGAAACATTTGTATGCTGAAGATGAACACAACTGGGAGAGTCTGAAATACTGGTGTGGAATTTTTATTGGGAACAGAAAACAAAAATCTCCATGAGACATGAGGGTGCATCTCAGGTAGTACTTGGTAACTTTTAATCAAAACACATTGTATATTTTTGTTTATTTAGGAAAGTCTCTTTTTTTAGTTCCTGACTTCAACAGCTGTTTTCAAAATAATGTCTCTCTGCCAGTCTAAAAATGGCCCCGGAGTGCACACTATCTAGTGTATGTGTCTGTATTGTGCATGTGCATCGCGGGCAGTCCCCAGGTCACGGACGTCTGCCTTATGTACAACCCGTACAACCTGTAGCTGCGAACCAGCCCCCACAAACCTATTATATTATAACGGTTTGTAATAACAAATGGGAGCTACTTTGCAACGCACATCAAAATGTTATTATTACTCTATTATGACATTAAAGATGTTTCAGTGTATCTGGAAGTGTTTCTTTAATGTTTTTTACGCATAGAAAGGTACACTATATACTACATATTAAGACAAACATTTGACTAACTGATGTTAGATATGAACCATAAACAACTTCAACTTACATACAAATTTGTCTTAAAGACAGACTTAGGAACGGAACTCGTTTGTAATCTGGGGACTGCCTGAATTTGTAACTGTGCATGGGAAAATCTTAGTTTAGTAGTACAATAATTCATTTCCTATTTCTCTAAAAGTAGGCATTCTAAACATACGGCATTTTTTCACACAGAAAACCAAAAATTTCACTGAAAAGGCACCAGCAATTGTATTTTAAAGATCCTTAGGGAGAAAATCACGTTGAAAATATTATCAAAAAGGTCAAAGAATAATTTCACACCTCCAGAATGTCCCTCGTAAGGCAGGACCCTTGGGACCTTAGTTTGAAGAGATTATGGATCCCGAAAAGCTCTCCCTGGTGCTCTTTTGATCCTTGAACTGCTTCAAAATACCGCTTGGCATTTTCACTTCCAACCACCACACAGTGCAGTTGCTAAAACAGAAAAAACACAAGATATTTTTTGAAGTGTTTGCTCCAAGAATATGTCAGAATTTCCTGGCATTCCCTGTATATACACAGCTTTAGCTAGAGCAGGCAGAATCTCCTTAGGGAGGAAATTTTGTTTTAATTTCCCTGGCAGATGTTGCCATTATGGTGAAATAATAATAATCTGGCCAATCTCATTGAAGCAGAGATCTTTCATTTCCTATTTTATCTGTTTTCTAATAATTGAGTTAGGATTGCATTTCTGTGGAATAGCCACCTAACATAAAATGTTTAATAACAAAAATATACACTTTAATACACTTTTCTTGTTTCTGGACTCTTACTACAATAAACCATAAAAAACCAACCCATTGCCATCGAGTTGATTCCCACTCATAGCGACCCTATAGGACAGAGTAGAACTGCCCCGTAGAGTTTCCAAGGAGCAGCTGGTGGATTCGAACCGCCGACCTTTTGGTTAGCAGCTGTAGCACTTAACCACTACACCACCAGGGTTTCCTCTTACTACAATAGGAACTACTAAACCTGGCAGAAAAAAATCAGTACATCATTAAATTATAATCTAAAATAATTATATAATAACACATTGGTGGGAAAATAGTTGTCACAATGATTATGCTGTCAACTAACAGCAAAAAGCTAACCACTGTTTTAAAAACACTGCATCTTTAACAATTTTGGATACAGAACATGGGCATGGAACCCTTAAGGACATAGACTGTTTTGGTATCAACATTAATGTGCACTATTTGCTGGGTATTTTACTAAACGTAATGTAAATATGTAAAATTAAATGCAATCTGATTAACCCCAGGTACATTTTCTTAGAAGAAACAAATATATTCCAAATTTCCTGGAAGAAACATGGAACGCACAGAATGGAAAGTAACTTCATTCTACTGCTGATGGCGGGATTAGTCAGAAGAGATACTTACGAACTGTGATCATCAGAATTGATTTGCACTGTAATAAGTTACTCTAGGCAATTCTTATTAGTAATAGCTGCCAATTACTGAACACTTATTGCACGTGAGGCATTTTATTTATATTTTTTTATTTAATTCCTACAACCCTATGAGATACTATTTTCTGCAATTTAGAAATAAAGAAACTGAAGTTTAGGGAAGTTAAGTGGTTTGTCCAGAGCTGCCCAACTAGAAAGTGCCATTTCTAGAATTTGTACCTGGGTTTCACTGAAACCAAAACTTATACTTTTAACCATTTCTCATCTCCAAGCTGCCCCTCTTAAGACCCTTGGGATCTTAGTTTTAAGAATTATGGATCAGCATACTGACTTGATCAATTCAATATCAATGTCCCAGAAACATGCGCTATAATAGTCCTGGGAATACAGAATCACAATAGCAACTGATGCAACTAATGGTCCAGCTGCCTGACGACCCTTCCTAATGATCCTTCCTTGAACACTGATATATATCTATATAGAGAGATACAGATATTTAATGATATGTATATTTATGTTACATGGAGCCCTGGTGGCACGGTGGTTAAAAGCTTGGCTGCTAACCAAAAGGTCAGTAGTTCGAATCCATCAGCGGCTCCTTGGAAACCCTATGGGGTAGTTCTACTCTGTCCTAATAAGGTCGCTATGAGTCAGAATTGACTCGAAGGCAATGGGTTTGGTTTTGGTACACACACACACACACACATATACACACATACATAAAATGAATCTTAATACCAAACTTTAGATGACATGTAATGCTCGCAATCTGAATTAATCTATTTGCTGCATAAGCGATATTTTTATTTTTGAAAAACATAAAATATCTGAAGGCACTATCACAACAGATGCAAACAATACTTACCAAACTTTTAAGTCCCCCTTGCACAACACAGCTCCCCTTACCAGCTTACTCTCCAGAGAAAACCAGTATTATAATGTTTTGATGTATCCTTCTAGATCTTTTTCAATGCAGTTAAAGATATTTATATATACATATAGATATAGATATGGTTTTATTTATTATAAGCACAGTTGATATATTGTATATATTGTTCTGCAAGTTGCTTATTTTCCTCAATTAAAAATGTCATAGAAATCCTGCCACATCAGCATATCTGAATTAATATAATCTCTTTTTTGTTGTTGTTGTTGCTGCAGAGTATTTCATAATATAGACATATCAGAATTTATGTTATCATTATGTTATTGTTAGGTGCTGTCCAGTCAATTCTGACTCACTGCGATCCTACGTACAACAGAAGGAAACACTGCCCAGTCCTGCGCCATCCTCACAATCATTGCTATGTTTGAGCCCATTGTTGCAGCCACTGTGTCAATCCATCTCACTGAGGGTCTTCCTCTCTTTTGCTGACCCTCTACTTTACCAAGCATGTTTCTCTCCAGGGACAGGTACCGCCTGATAACAGGTCCAAGGTATGTATGACAAAGTCTTGCCATCTTCACTTCTAAGAAGCACTCTGACTGTACTTCTTCCAAGACAGACTTGTTTGTTCTTCTGGGAGTCCACGGTATATTCAATACTCTTCGTCAACACCATAATTCAAACGTATCAATTCCTCCTTCTTCCTTCTTCACTGTCCAGCTTTCACCTGCATAGGAGGCGACTGAAAACACCATGGATTGGGTCAGGTGCAGCTTAGTCCTCAAGGTGACATTTTTGCTTTTCAACATTAAGAGGTCTTCTGCAGCAGATTTGCTCAATGTGATACATCATTTGATTTCCTGTTGCCTCCATCGGCATTGATTGTGGATCCAAGTAAAATGAAATCCTTGACAAGTTCAATCTTTTCTGTTTATCATGATGGTGTTTACTGGTCCAGTTGCGAGGATTTTTGTTTTCTTTATGTTGAGGTATAATCCATACACAGTCTTTGATCTTCATCAGTGAGAGCCTCAAGTCTTCTTTGCTTTCAGTGAGCGATGTTGTGTAATCTACATATCATGGTTTCTCCAATCCTGATTACTGTGCTTTTCTTCATATAGTCCAGCTTCTTGGATTACTTGTTTGGTGAAAGGATACAACCCCAACACTCATCTTTCCTGATTTTAAACCATGCGGTATCGCCTTGTTCTGTTAGAATGACTGCCTCTTGATCTATGCACAGGTTCCTGATGAGCAAAATTAAGTGTTCTGGAATTCCCATTCTTTGCAATGTCATCCAAAATTTGTGATGATCCACACAGTTGAATACCTTTGCATAGTCAATAAAACACAGGTAAACATCTTTCTTGTATACTCTCCTTTCAATCAGGATCCATCTGCTGATGCATGATATCCTTTGTTCCACGTCCTCTTCTGAATCTGGCTTGAATTTCTGGCAGTTCCCTGTTGATGTGCTGCTGCAACTGTGTCTAAATTATCTTCAGCATAATTTCACTTGCATGTGATATTAATGATATTGTTCAATACTTTCTGCATTCTGTTGGGTCACCTTTCTTTGGAATAGCATGAATATAGACATTTACACTATTTTCTTTTTTTTTTTTTAATGAATACAAAAATGCTGAATATAATCCCTGTCATCCTTGACTGTGCATATGTGAGAGTATCTCTCAGGCCGATATGGAGAAGATGCTATGTGTTTTACATTTTAATATGCTGTTAAATCAGCCTTTAAAATGAGTATACTAAGTAGTATCTTCAACAATATACGAGTATCTCTCATGTTCATGAAGTCAAAACCAAGAAACAAAAAATCTTTTACAAAACTGATGTGCAACATTGCTGACTTCGTTTTATTTACTATTTCTAGATTACAAGTGTGTTTAAACATCTTTTCATATATATGTTGAACATTTGTATTTTTCCTTCAGTGAAATGCCTAATCATAATCTTTTTGTTTGTGGGAGTTCTTTATATATTCTGATGCTAATCATTTGTTTACTATATATATGGAAAATACTTCCTCCTAGTTTCACTTTTAATCTGGTTTACAGTTTCTTTGTCATTGTTATGGATTGAATTGTGTACCTGTGAATGTGACCTTGTTTGGAAATAGAGTCTTTGAAGATGTTATCAGTTAACATGAGGTCATACTGGAGTAGGGTGGGTCCTAATCCAGTATAAACGGCATACTTCTCAAAGAGGAAAAGAGACGCATATGCATGTGCACACGCGCGCACACACACACACACACACACACAGAGGAAAAAATGCCATGTGACAATGGAAGCAGAAATTGGAGTTATGGTGAGGCAGAAAGCCAAGGAATGCCTGGGGCTACCAGAAGCTGTGAGAGACAAGAAAGGATCTTCCCCTAGAGCCTTCAAGAGAGCATGGCCCTGCTGACATCCTAAATTGAGACTTGTAGCCTCCAGAACTAGGAGACAATAAATTTGTGTCATTTTAAGCCACCTATTTTTGGTACCTTATTATGGCAGCCCTAGGAAACTAATACAGACATGTGGAAGTTTCACATAAAAATGTAGTCATATTTACAATATTTGCCTAAGAAGTTTTGTATGTTCGTTCTATTTTGTTCTGGGGCAGCCTTTCCTACCTAAGGAATGTATTTTCTTCTGATACTTATATGATTTTTACAAATAAGTTTAGTTCTTTAATACATCTGAAATTTATTTTTGTGAGTGGTGTAAGGTAGGGATCTCATTTTATTATTTTCCGAATAGTTACCAATTGTCACCACACTGTTTTCAATACACTTTTTTTAGTTATACAGATTTTAAACTCATGGCTCAACTGTTTGAAAAATTTTCCAACTTTTCATTTAGAAAACTTCAAACCTATAAAAAAATTGAAAGCATTATGAACAGCTATATACTCTTCCTTAATATTCACAAATTATCAACATTTTGCCACATTTGTTTTATCTTATCTGTCTCTCTTTACACACACATACACACACACTTTTTTCCTGAAGTCTTTGAAAATAAGTAACAGACATTATGACCCTTCATCCCAAATACCTCAGCAAGAATCTTCTAAAAACAAAGACATTCACTTACATAACCAGGATACCACTATCATACTACAAACCTTTAACATGGATACAATATTATTATCTAGTATACTATCATTATTCAAAGCTTCTCAATTATCCAAAAAAAATTCTTTAAACTTGTTTTTATTTTTCCCCAATCCAGAACCCAGTTAAGGACCATGAATTGCATTTGGTTGTCATTGCTCTCTCTTTTTATTAAAATAACATTTATATACAGTGAAATGCACAGATCTTAAGTGCACAATTTGATGAGATTTGATAAATGCAAATAGCCACTAAACAGCCACAACAATAATCTATAAAAGACTTCCATCATCCTAGAAAGTTTCTTTGCGCCCCCCTCCAGTTACCATCCCCCAGTCCAACTACTGCTGTAGTTGTCCTATACCGAAGAACAAAAGGATGAAAGGTTTCTTACAGAGCTAAATGCTTTAAGAAAACAACAAAAACTGCTGGGTACAATTCTATTTTTAGAATTAAGAAAACAGCATACATTTAAGATTGGATCATTCTTAGGTTAACTACCACCACATGTGCCAGATGTTTGCTCTTAAATAGATGCCAACTGAATATATAGTGAACAATTCAAATTTAACACTTACAATTAAACTTGAACCTAATACCAGATCTTCTCAAGTGAGCAATTATAAATAAACTTCGTTTATTTAGAGGTATAAATGGAGTAGTCACTGATACTCAATAAGGATAAAAAAGTTAACATAATTTTAAATGACTACTAAAAACCTTAGCACAGTAGTTAGCGCACTTGAGTTCTATTCCTAAAATTTCATGTACTAGAGTATCTCTGCATCCCAGTTTCATTATGTTCAACACGAAGAGGTTGCATTAGATATCACAAGGCAGTGTGACCCAATCTTTTTCATGTCATGCCTCATGTAGAAAATGGTAACAAATGAACAGCCTCCTGAAGTGAACAGAGGAGGCTACTCAAGGCTGGAAGCTGGTCTAGGTGATCATATGGCTCAGAGAGCTGTAGGCACCAATGTCTCCGTGCATTTGTAACCCATTTGAGGGATACCATTATGTCCTGGCCTACAGTCTGGGGAGCTGTGACCCTGCTACTCAAATTGTGGCCTGTGGGACTAGTAGTATTGGCACACCTGGGAGCTAGTTAGGGATGCAGAATCTTGGGTCCCACCCCAGACCTACTAAATCAAGATCTGCATTTTCACAAGATCCCTAGATGATTCATGGATACATAAAGTTTAAGAAGCACTGCTCTAAGAAACCTTCCACTCTAAATGAACAAAATAATCAATGAACTAAAGAATCAATCTGTTTTATAAGAAGTGTACTCTAGCATATATTTCATAATCTTATTAAATTCAACATTGTAGTTAGAGTAAAATTTAAAATTTTATTTGTACGTGAATTTTTCCCTAATTTTTAAAAACAAACATTTACTTTTTAATTAGAATACGGGAAATATATTTACCTGCTTGTACACCTGTCGTAAGTACATGATCTCCTCCACAGTTCCCAAGGATATCAGCCTAAGCACTTTTACATCTCTGCATTGTCCAATCCTATATGCTCTGCAAAAAGATTAAAAACAAAACAAAAATCAAGTGAAGCAACTGTGGGTTCAAGAAGTAGCCTCTGGACTTGAAAATAGAACATTATTAAATTTTTAATTAATTTTAAAAGAAATATTTTATGTTTAAAAAAAAAACCTGTTGCCATCGAGTCGATTCTGACTCATAGGGACCCTGTAGGGCAGAGAACTGCCTCATAGGGTTTCCAAGGAGCAGCTGGTGGATTCAAACTGCTGACCTTTCGGTTAGCAGCTGAGCTCTTAACCACTACACCACCAGGGCTCCATTTTAGGTTTAGGTATGCTATAATTATTTAATAATAATACAAAAATAGAAATTCATGTAAAGAGACTAATTATTGTGGAGAACACTGTTACAGAAAAAATAAACATATCGACTTCATTTCTGTTATAAATATCACTGTCCAGTGTCCCAAAACTTTTCCTAAATAAATGTTTTTCTTTTTTCACGGCAGTCTTAAGCCTATGAATAGACTGTGTTCCCAAATCATTCCATTCATATAAAATTCCTGGAAATTCAAATTAATCTATAGTGACAGAAAGCAGATCAGTGGCTGCTTGGGGATGGGGGCAGTTTGGGGGGGGATGAATTACAAACAGGCACAAGGAAAATTTGGGAAGTAATAGATACATTCACTATCTTGACTATGGTAATGGTTTCACAGGTAAATACATATGTCAAAATGTATCACATTGTACATTTTAAATATGTGCATTTATTGTATGTTAATTATACCTCAATTAAAGTGTTACAAAGTTAAAAAAAAAAAAAGGGCGGTGGGAAGCAGTTAATCAGAGGTCTGTGGGGGAAGGCCCAGGCACTGCTGACTGGTACACCAGGCATTTTGACCCAGACCACAGAGCTACTTAAAACTATTCTGACTCACCATGCTGGTTAACTCTGGGTCCATTCCCTGCAGCTTCTCCAAGGTAGATGCTTTACTGGATGCTTTGAATGAGGTCACCTGTTCCTAAATGCCTGTTACAATTGCTGAGAACATGGGCAAGGCCACATTGCCTACATGCCTAATGTTACAATTTGGGGAAAATTTATTTTTCACTTTGTGAGGTTGCTCTCTATGCTGTTATACTTGGGCTTTTAGTAGAGGGCATCTTGGAGTCCTACAAATCTTTACTTACACCCCTAGAGGGAAATGGGGCACCTGTGACACAGCAACAGCCAGGGGTAAGTGACCTACATTCTCATTTCCATCCTATAGCCTGGATTCCACAGAGCTCATGATCCCTTTCTCTTCCACATGCACTTGGGCTCTAAAGAAAATCAGAAATGGATCTAAGTAAACATTCTTTGGGTGTATGCTCAGCCCAGTTTGGTGAATGGGAAAGATTCTATTAGAGTGCATATCATTTAATCTTTACAGACGAAATTCTTATATACGTTGTCTCTTTAGATCTTTGCTTCATTAATTTCTCGGTTCATAAAGCAGAAATTTATGAGGTGGATCTTTTACTATCTGTTGAAGAACTTAAACAATTATGTAAGTTAATATATTAGTTCTTGATAGTCTAGATGAAAAAGTACAAAATTACACCAAATGTCACAAGAAAAAAAATTGGAAGAGATTGGTCTGTGGTTTTCATTTGACCATTTTCCTTGACAGCTGTCAGTGGAGAAAGGCTGGTTAAAAGTATAGGCTCTGCGGTCAGACTGTGTGGATTTAGGTCCTGGCCCTTGTGAACTTGAGCAAGTTACTCAAGCTTTGTGACTCAGCTTCCTCACATGTAAAATAGGTATGATAATAGTGTCAATCACATAAGGATATTGTTGAGTATTAAGTGAGATAATCATGGAAGTAAGCACTGAGAACAGTTCCTAACTATAAGTAAACATTCAATAAATGTTAGCTGTTATTCTACCTTTGTAATTATTCTTGCTGCCACTTAAAGAACCAGGGCTAATTTGCTTCGTATTAGGCTGTACCCAGTAGAGCACTGTGTATACTATAACTGAGGTGTTCTTGTTAACACATTGTATTATAAGCCAAATTATATCTATCAAGCAAACAGTAATAGATAATTTAATTTTCTATATGGGCAAAATGTACACCTGATTTCCTTTAAATGTCCATAGTACCTAGTGTACCTTGTAAATATTTAAAAAAAAAAACCCCATTGCCGTCGAGTCAATTCCAACTCATAGTGACCCTATAGGGCAAGAGCAGAACTGCCCCATAAGGTTTTCAAGGAGTGCCTGGTGGACTCGAACTGCTGACCTTTTGGTTAGCAGCCGTAGCTCTTAACCACTACGCCACCAGGGTTTCCTGTAAATATTAAGTGTTCAATATATGTTTTTGACATTTATTTCTATAACACTGAAACACAAATTTCTATGACATTGAAAATTAAATTTCTTATTAAAAACAGAACAAAACATCGGGGTCTAAGTCCTTTATTAAGTGGTAGTTCTCTGGCTGTCCTTTCAGTTTCTTCTATGAGTATTCGTCTATTTTGTTTTTTATCTCATCTTCAGTCAACCTAAATAATTTATATGCCTCTAGAAAAAGGTCCTTTTCATGTAGATTTTCAAATGTATGTATATAAAACTATACCAAAAAATGTTAGATACTGTAAATAAATACTATTGGTGGTTAGTTGGACTTTCTGCTCTGTGTACACTTGATTTTTTACCTTGGATTAGACTTATCAAAAGTTTGTCCATTTTACTGTCTTTTTCAACTAATAATTTATAATTTTTATGTTTATACTTTTGTTTTTATCTCATTAATTCATATTTTTATCTTTATACAATTCCCTTTATTTTCTTTAGGTTTATTTTATTTTCCTAGATTTCTAAAGTATATCCTTCTTTCATTTACTTTCAGGCTTTCGTATTTTCTAAGAAATGAATTTAAGACTAAATTAGCATCAGAATGTAAATATTGATCCATAGTGATTTCATTGTTATTTATTTCTAAATAGTAAGTTTTCTCTTCTGATTTCTTCAGCTCAAAAGTTGTTGCAAAATATTTTTAAAATTCCATGTGACTAGATTTTTATTAGCTAAACATTCATTGTTGTTTTCTTTTTTTTTTGTATTACAGTCATGGAATCTAGCCTATGTGATTTCTATTAAAATACATGGTCATTAAAAAATATATATTCTACAAATGTTTGAAAAGACTGGCTATTCTTTGTTGTCATAAAGTTATATGTATTTATTCAATTAAGCTGGATAACTTATTCAAACAATTTATATACTTATTTTGCCTAGTTGATAACTGATTTTTGATAGAAGTATATTAAGTTCGTTATTATGATTGTGTATTTGTCCATTTCTTCTCATAAGAGTTCTAGTTTTACTATGTAGAGATTGTTACACCCTCCTGCTAGATTGTTTTCCTCTTGGCTTTGTTTAATTAATGCCTTTTGCCTTGAATTCTATTTTGCCATTTGGATTCAGACATTTAAAGTTATCATAAATAGAAATTTTCCCAAGGTTTCCCCTATCTTCTAACCACATCCGTACTATAAGCAACCTAAAAATCTCAGGAGTACTTTGAGATTAAAAGCACTTGCAGGCCACTTTAAATTTTGTCAGTTTTATACCTGTCAATGGCTTGAAGATCATTGGCTGGATTCCAAGTAGGGTCAAATAATACAACAACATTGGCACCAACAAAATTGAGGCCTAGTCCACCAGCCCTGGAGGAAACAGAAAAGAGTATATTAAAACTGCAAAAAAAAAAAAAAAATTGCTGTGCTATAATTCAATTGTACCAGGTTTCTACAGCCAAAATAATACAATACTGTATTACCATCATAAAAGTAAATAAAACAAAAATCTGTCACAAATGGAATATCTATGGAATGTTTTTTCTATCACTCTGAAAAATCCCTAAAAAAATAGACCATTAGAGTCCATGTAAGTAGCTTGTGCTGGTTTTTACAGATTTCTGGGTATTCAAATACTATTTCTACGAGATTTTTCTAATGTAATTAAAGAAAAACAACAACAATAGTATACTGAAGCTACCCCAACCCACTGCCATCAAGTCAATTCCAACTCACAGCGACCCTACAGGACAGAGTAGAACTGCCCCAAAGCATTTCTAAGGAGTGGCTGGTGGAGTCAAACTGCCGACCTTTTGGTTAGCAGCCAAACACTTAACTACTGCACCACCAGGGCTCCATATTGAAGCTAAATAAAGTAATATACACATTTAATAATTCAATCCAGGAGTAGACATACTTCTCTCTATTCCTCCTGCTAAACGCAGCTAAAAAGCCTTGACGTTACACATAAAACAAACATTAAGAATACTCTGGAAGGTAGAGAGAAGACAGACCAGCTAGGGACCATAGGACCAAAGGAATGACATGGCAGTGAGTCTTCTGGCTTTCTTTTTCCCTAATAGATCCCAGAGAAGGTTCTGGAGAAGCCAGAAAACTGGAAATGGCAACAGGCACAGACAAAAAAGCTCCAAGAAAAGCCATCTCCCCTTAGCCAATGAATCAGAAAAGATGCACCCTAGAAAGACAGAAAAATATTGGACAATAACGGTCCTACTCCTTCCAAACATCACAGAAAAAACTGATAGCCCCACCTGGATTTCCACCCCTACCTGCTGTCATAGTGTTAGAGGAGGCCTACTAAAACATAAGATTTTAAATGAGATACAGAATCTCATCATACTTAGAATGTCCAGGATATAATAAAAAAATTAGTTGTCTTGCCAAAAATCAGGAAAATCTCAAATTAAATAAGAAAAGACAATCAACAGATGGTAACACTGAGATGAAATCAGATTTCGCAATTATCTGACAAGGATTTTAATGCAGTCATCATAAAAATGCTTCACCAAGAAATTACAACATACTTGAAACAAACTTAAAAAAAAAATAGAAAGTCTCAGCAAGAAAGAGAAAGAAACAAATCAAAATTCTACAACTTAAAAATACAATGGGGAAAAAAAAAAGCTTGTTGGACATGCTCAGTAGTAGAGAGAGGATGACAGAGGATAGAATCAGTTTATTTGAGCACAGATTAGTATCTTTTACCCAATCTGAACAACACAGACAAAATAGACTAAAAAAAAAAAAAAAAAAAAATGTGAACAGAGGGATAATAACAAAATAGGTAACATTCATATTATCAGCCTTTCAGAAGGAAAAGACAGAGAGAGAGAGAGAGACAGAAAAAGTATTGAAAGAAACATGGCTAAAGATTCCCAAATTCGGAAAAAGACATAAACCTACAGATTTAAGAAGGTGAGCATCCCAAGCAGGATAAACCCAAAGAAATCCATACCAAGATACATTATAATTAAGTTTCTGAAAACCAAAGACAAAGAAACATCTTGAAAGCAGTCAGAGAGAAATGACATATTATTTATAGGGGAACATCAACTTGAATGACAGTGGATTTCTCATCTGAAACCCTGGAGGCCAGCAAGAAGTAGAACAACATTTTCAAGGGCTAAAAGAAAAGAACAGTCAATGCAGAATTCTATATTCAGTGAAAACATCCTTCAGGAATGAAGAGGAAATCATAACATTCTCAGATGAAGGAAAACTACGAATACTCTTTACCAGTATATTCTTAAGAGACTAGCTAAGGACAGTTCTTGAAATGGAAAAGAAACAATAAAAGAAGGAATCTTGGGAACATCAGGAAAGAAAAAAGAACAACGAAAAGCATAAAAATGTTGGTAAATATGTTCTCCTACTGAGGTTTTAAAATTATGTCTGATGGTGGAATCAAACAGTATAGCATTGTCTGATGTGATTTTCAAAGTATGTAGAGGAATTATTTAAGACAATTAAAAATGGACAAAGGTAAAGAGAGTTAAAAGGGTGATAAGGTGTCTACACTTTACTCGAGCTGGTAAAATGTCAACACCAGTAGACTGTGGTAAGTTATGTATATATAAAGTAAAACCTAGAACCACCACTAAAAAAAAATCTATACAAAGAGATACACTAAAAAAACACTACTGATTAAAATAAAATTCTAAAAATGGTTCAAGCAACTCACAGATAGACAGGAAAAGAGAATTAAAGTACAGAGAGAACAAACACAAAACATAAACGGAAGGATGTAAAATAAAAGAGACTTAAGAGATATATGAACCAATCACAATGAATGAGCCTTATCTGGATCCGCATTCAAGCAAACCACAAAGAAAAAATTATGAGACAATAGAGGAAATGTGAACACTGACTGGGTATTTGATAATATTAATAAATTTTCCTCAATTTTTTAGATGTGATAATAGTATTACAGTTTTATTATGAAAAAAAGATCCTTATCTTATAGAGATACATATTAAAATATTCATGGATTAAATGAAAAAAATTCATTCATTGATAAAATGCTTTTAAAGGTATAAATAAAATGCTACTCTTCCAAAATTCTCAGAACTTGAAAATAGACATATTCAACATTAAATACTATATAATACTGGGAATTCTGAACTGTATTAGAATACAAAAAAAAAAAAAAAACCTAAACTAGTTGCTGGTGACCCCATGTGTACAGAGTAGATTGCACTTCATAGAGTTTTAAAGGCCTCCACTTTTTGGATGCAGACTGTCAAGCCTTTCTTCCAAGGTGCCTCTGGGTGGGTTCAAACCATAACTTTTCAGTTAGTAGTCAAATGCTTAACTATTTGTGCCAGGCAGAGACTCCTTGTATTAGAATGGTTGGTTGGTAGGTGCTGTCAAGTTAATTTCAGCTCATAGTGACCCCATGTGACAGAGTAGATCTGCACCATAGGGTTTTCTAGGCTGTAATCTTTATGGAAGCAAATCGCCAGGTCTTTTCTCTACAGGGCTGCGGGGTGGGTTAGAATTGCCAACCTTTCCGTTAGCAGCTGAATGCTTAACTGTTGCGCCACCAGGGCTTCTTTGTATTAGAATTAAAAAAAAACACTCAAACCCACTGCTGTCGAGTCAATTCTGACTCATAGCGACCCTACAGGACAGAGCGGAACTGCCCCACAGGGTTTCCAAGGAGCAGATGGTGGACTTGAACTGTCAACCTTTTGGTTATCGGCTGAGCTCTTTAACCACTGGGCCACCAGGGCTCCTGTATTAGAACAGGAAGCATCAAAATACTGGTTTTACTTGCCAAGCATAACCTTGGCTAACGTTTACAGGGATCATTATATGAAACTCTAATATTTTTAACCTAACACCTTGTAAACTTCAGAGTAAATATGCAATTCATAAAATAGTCTTTCTTACTCATTAATCTTAAGGACCACCAATGCTATCTAGTTAATTAACTACTCAAATATATGTATGATTTAGCCCACATCACCGAACAACAGTCTAAGTATATCATAGCGGATGATTCATTTCATTTAATATGAGGCCCCTTACATATAGTTACTTTTTAAATGACCATTGACATTTTCAGAAGAAATTCAGCCTTGGCAGTTTGAAGTCTAAAAGATACATGTAAGATATCTTCCATTATTTTCACTGGCTAATAAAAAAATAGAAACTAAAAATCTCAGATTTTTGATACTACAATTGGTCCTAAGAAGTTGATCAAAGTAAAATGATAGTAACAAATAAGCGTATGTTATACCAAAATGGATGAACTCCTAATAGAATCAGCGATGAAAAGCTAATGCAAATGTTATGCAAACCATAACATTTTATAGCAAACAAGAGTTTTCTTCTGAAATTTTAGGAAAACGGGTAAAGAGAGAAGATGATCAAGATGTTAACGAGATTTCATTCAAGAGAAAGGAGGCATGACATTTCAAAATAGCAACTTTTTATTTTTACTGGCAATGTAGAAGGGAAGATGAAAAAGTTAAGAGAGAGGTAGTATTTCCAGGAATAGAAATCAAAAGACTTACTGACAGACATACAGTTGGATATCTATGGAGGGTCTGGTTCATTAAATTTGAAAAGGTGAAAAGAGGTAAGGGACTATTCATGCTAAGAAATATTTCTCACAGATACAGTTCTCAAAAATTTAAAGGTGAGGAGGCAGGGCAAAGATGGCGGAGTAGCCAGACGCATCCAGTGGACCCTCTTACAACAAAGACCAAAAAAAACAAGTAACTTTATTATATATGGCAATCTGTGAGCCCTGAACATCAAAGTCAGAGGTAAGGAATCGGACTGAGTGGTGGAGGGAGACACCATTGGGAAGCAGCGAGGAGTTGCCTGACCCGGCGAGAACCTGAGCCCTTCAGGCCTGAGCAGCTTGTGGGTGAGCAGTGGGGAGGGTAAGCGGCGGTACTCCAGAGGCGCATTTTCTGCACCAGGAGAGACCCAGTGCCAGAGAGTCTACACGGCTACCCAGAACCAGTGAGAAACAGCACTCATCAGCGAAAGATTACTTCTGAACGGCTTACCGTGCAAATCAAAAATACCTCCCTTAGGGAAAAACCTCTCTCCCATTTACCTCCCCGCTCCCTGCTCTGCACTGGGTCCCAGACCAGCTTCAGCAATTGCCAAGTGCCCTGGGCTGGAAGGAGGATCCATCACATGCCCAGAGCCATTCCCCCTGCCTTGGAAAGTGAACAAATTAACAAAAGGGGAAAAACTAAACTGCCGGCTCCCCTAAGCTAGGAACCCAAAGTAGGCACAGTTCCTTCGCCTAGGCACAGGCATAATGGATCCACGGACTTTGAGTGACTTTCGCCCTGCAGAGACTTGTGTGGGTCGCAGAGACTTGTGTG